TCATGGGATAAGATAAGCTTAGTGTTCCTCTGGGCTAGTTGTTGACTAGCATTTGTATTGTGCTTCAAGTTCAAGGTGTGAAAGCTTGCATACGGTGTTTGCAGGCATGGTGTTGGGTTCTTACCATGCTAGATTGAGATATCATCACAAGAACTAGGGCTGTATACCTTTTATGTGAAGTCAAGATCTATGCTTAGGACCTTGGTACCTGTGGGCATGGATAGGTGCCTAGGGCCACCATAAAACTTGTGTACTACTAATTGTGATAGGAGTTGGATTCCCCTTATAGAGTTTAAAAAAGTTATGTGCGACTCTACAGAGGCAAAGCTAAGAAGGGCTCAGGAGTATGTGACTTAAAGAATCGAGATATTGAACTGTTCATGAGAAAATGGACTCGTGAAAGGTTGACCTTGACTATGAATAGTCTTGGTGCAGCATGGATACGTGATTCTGGTATAAAGGAACACCTGACTTGTGACATTTGGTATCAAAGCCTAGTTTGGCTAAGTGGTGGGATTAAAGTGGCCCCAAGTGTGGGCATGATATTAATAAATTAAGGTAATGTTAAGCTCAAAGAGAGCTATTGATGCAAGATCGAAATATTATGGCTATGTGCGCTTGAGATTGAGCCACTAATGCGTGATGTGGGAAATTGGCCTAGGTGCAAAGCCTTTAAGTTAACTTTTGGATGCTAAGTGAAAGGGCACAGGAGTCTTACCTCACCTAGCGAAAGGTGTTGGGGCGTACGGGCATGTGATACCCTTATAGTGGGAAAAATCATGTTAAGACTGAAATGCTAAAAGGGCTACACCATGAAAGGGTGTTATGTGAAGCCATGTGGGCTAAAAAAGTCTTATCCTAAGGGACTTGATTAGAGCTTACTGAGATCAGTTACTAATGTGTGTATTTATTGTGTGTTGTAGGTGCCCTAACGAGGGTATGAGTGAGTGTTTAGGGTCCAAAAATGAAACCACTTTGCAAAAGCAAACAAGTTTGAGTTGACTAAAGATTGAAGCCATGAGTTTATGATGGTCGGTTGACCATTCTAGTGGTCACACGATAACAAGATTATGTCAATCAGTGGATTGTGCTTGTGTTAGCCGAAAAAAAAGGCCTTATGAGATATGATGGTCAAGAGACCATAACACTATGCAGTTCTATGAAACAAGCAAGCGAGAGTTGGCCAATTGACAAAGCCTTATGGGTTGTGATAGTTAGAAGACCAATTGAGTTAAGCAAAGTCGAGGGTATTGGCATTCAAGTTGCATCTGGTCAGCAGACTAGATAAGTTTGAATAAGATAGAATTAAGTCGATTGTGGAACCTTTTTAAGTTGATATTGGCCAATGGGATGGCCTTGAGTTTGAGTAGTCAGTGAACCTTGAATATCGAGTGGGTTGGTGAACCTTAAGATTGAGCTAGTTAAGAGACCTTGTGTTTAGAGTGGATCAACAGGTCTTTAAGCTTTGTGTGGGCTTTAAGTTACACTTTAAGCTATACTAAAGTTAAGGCAAACAAGTTGTGGAACCATTATTGAGGCATGGGTATGTGTAAGAGCTGAGTTTAAGTAAAAGTGAGGGAGACTTGTTATTCTCTATGAAACTAAGCAAAGCAATGGAACCTACGAGATTATTGAGCATAAGAATGAGTTCGAGATGGCATGCATTAAAGTGCCACCATAAGGGCGGTTGGTCGGAGGGCCACACCTAGAGAGGTGACCTTAGAGGGGCTGAAAGGACCCAAGTTGTAAGATAACCAAAGTGTTTAAATGCCTCCATGCTAGGGTCTATTGTGGGTGGTGCCTATAAGTGTGGTTAACCTAAACACCACGTCCAAAGGGTTGTATCAAAGAGTCAATACCGCAGGAGTGTAGTTAGTGTAATAGGTCACATCCAACGGGACATACTGAAGTGTGGCAAAACAGGTGGTCATTTATTCTACTAAGGGTCATGATTAATAAGGGTGCCTTAAGGTCATAACCTGATGTGATCATGGGTGAAGCAGTGTAATGGCACTAATGAAAAATGGATTGAGTATGTAGATCAGATATGGAATTAGCACAAAGGTGCATTGGAGCTGGGATGATCCTTCTACATCGGTAATGAACAAGTACTATAGGCGATGCCTCATTTGATAGGATCATGACTCAATCTTTGAAGGTACAAGTGAAAGACATAAAAAAAATGTCAACTATGTGCAACAAGAGAGTTGGGTGTGGTCTTGGTATCGAAAAGGGCATCAACATAGTAAGTGAGGGAGAATATCATGGTTAGGCCTTGGTGTGCATCAGTCCTACCATGACTAACCCTGAGCTGAGAGCGATTGAGACCTTATGATTGAGATAATGGTCTTAGAGCAATGAGTGTGCAGTGTAAGCTCAAAAACATATTACTGATCAAGTGTGTAAGTAGTGTGAGCCTTAGTCCCTAAGATGCGTAGGTAAATGCGAGCTAGTGGGTAAGTGCCTTAAAGCCAAGTAGCCAATCGGGTGTTCTCGATTGAAGTTTTGTGTGTGTACCCTCAAGTGGGTTGGTAGAGTAACTAGCAAAATCTTATAATTATGTGGCCAAAAGGCAAGTTACTGGGCCCTGAGTTGACTAAAGAAAGCCCTGAGATGGCTAGGGAGAAAAATATCCCTATTTTAGATAGTTTCACGGTTCTTGGTAACATAGTTAGGAAATCTCTTATACTCTTTATAGGGGCACGTTTAGTGTTAGCTCTTTACCACCCCCTTGGCTAGTGGGTAGGTGAAGGCCTGGCTAGTATAAAGTGAGCTATTCCTAGGCACATATAGTATCTAGGTGGGTGAGCATCATCGGGTCACAAGTGTAGACGGTATCTCCTTGGGTCATGGTAAACTTGAGGATGATTAGGGTTGGCGAATCTCATATCATTCCTTTGCATTAGACAATAGGGTTAAATGGTAACATTATCTATGTACCTCAGTTTCCCCTCCTTGAATAGGTTTAATAATTAACCAAGGATCATGAGATAGTGTTTGCGTAAGAAGTGTATCATCGAACCTAAAGGATGAGCAAGCTAACAGGCAAGCATGCTGCTAGACCCTTATGACCAATCGATAGAGGTGTGCTATGACTAGGGTAGCACACCCAAAGTTTCTCGATGTAGGACAGGCATGATATCAGGTGTCTATCATATGTGCGAGCAGCCCAAAGTGAGACTAAAGATCAAGGCCCTAAAATATGAGTTTCGTGAGATGAGATGAGCCTAGTGTGGCTCCAGGCTGGCTGCTGACCAGCATTCGTGCAGTGCCTTCGGGTTTGAGGTATGAGAGCTTACATATGGTGCATGCATGCAAGCATGATATTGGGTTTTAACCATGCTAGATGGAGATACCATTACAAGAATCGAAGCTGCACACTCCTATGTGAATTCGAGGGTCGATGCTCGAAACCTTGGTGCCTACAGGCATAGATGGATGCTTAGGGCCACACTAAAACTTGTGTGCTACTAATGGTGATGAGAGTTGAGTTCCATCCTGTTGAATTTGAGAATGTCCCATGCGATCCTACGAGGTCAAGGCCATGAAAGGCTCACAAGTATGTGGTTTGAAGGATTGGTAATGATCTATTCATGGAAAAATAAACTCACAAAAAGGTAACCTAAATTATGAGTAGTTTTGATGGCACACGGATGCTTAGCTTCAATATAAGAAACATACGGCCCATGACACATAGCCTATAATAGTGCAAACCTAATCAACATCATTTTCAAGGTTGTCTTATCTTTATGATTCTTGCCAATGATTTTCAAAGTGTAAATCAGTCGACCCTCAATATTAATTTGACTTTAGCAACACATACAAATATACAACAAACACCCAAAAGATTGCAATGATCAAGCTTTTCTTTTTCCTTTTTCGAACAAATGCTTTATTACTTATTATCTTCGTCCATATCAACCTTTATTGCCCATTTTTTCACAATCATTTATTCACATAGAGTAAAATTTACCTTATGAAAAATTATGAATATAAAGCAATTGGGAATTTGATGTTACCAAATAAATTCACAAAATCAAATGCTCATTGCATATGAAAAATTCAAAATTAGATAAATTATTTAATTTTACGTCACGATTTCATGTATTTAAAATTAACACCCATAAAAAAATCATTAATAAGATATGTATAAAAAATCATCATTTTAATTAAATTTTATGCATTTGAGATTAACTTAATAAAAAATCATTAAGATCTGTGTCAAAGATCATTGTTGAATCATATGAATTCACAAATTCAGTTAATCTTTAGTTAGCCCAATTTGAATCATATCTTAATAATATAAAATATTATGAAAAATTAAATAAATGATACTTTAGAGCATTTTTTTACCCAAAAAAAAAAATTAATTTGGGATAAAAAAAGAGTTAACAGGTACTTAATTTTAAATTTCAGACAAATTAAACGAAAATTTTTAATAATATTTACATATATTAATTAAATTAAACTCTAAACTTTTTTGTTAATAATTAAGGTTATGTGAGATTTGAATTTTGTTATTAATTAACATACCTAATCAATATCATCTCATTTGGTTGGTCCCATCTTCCGTCTGTGCGCCTAAAACAAAATCATGAAATTGTCACATTGTCATTCCTTCTCTTCTAAAAGAAACCATAGAATTATACAACTAAAAATTACCAACTATATATAATAATATGAGACCCCACATTGTGCCGTAATGACTCTGCGTTACTTTCTCCCAAAAACGAAGAATCAAATTCTTAAACACAGCTCACAATGGTAAACCTCGTCATTTTCCTCCAACTCCAAGCCCTATTATGCAAATCCCTGATATTATATATCAACCTTATTCTAAATTTAAAAATCCGGTGTGGCACTATCTGCCGCCGATGATGGCCATAATCAGAAGATTCTCGTTCTCTTTGATCTGATTTCAAGATTTTAAAAATCAAAACCTTATATTAAATTTTTAAAATAAATATAACATTTTATTTTTTTAGTTCTCTGTTCGCAATCTCATTCGCTAACGAATGAATTGAGTGCGACGCAACTATCATTTTCATCATATAAAAAAAGAATTAGCCTAAGGTTAATTTTTTTTCTAAAAAAAAAATGTTGTGTCGCAAAAATTCGAGCTGTGAGGAGACAGGATCAGTACCAGTGTATCTCAATGTGTATGATCTAACACCAATTAATGGCTATGCATATTGGTTTGGACTTGGGGTATATCATTCTGGTGTTCAAGGTTAGCTTTCTTACTAATATGAACAATGAAGATTTCTTTCTTTTTCTTGTTTTGAAACTTTCACTTCTTTTACATGTTTTGTACTTCTTGTACTTTTGGAACTTAGATCTATTGTTGGGTTGTCCTAAATCTTTGAAACTGTTATACTTGAGTTGTCTGAAAATCTGTGATGTTGTTCATTGATTTTGAAAGGGTAGTTTTGTTTTTTAGGTCCATGAGCATTGAACTTTTAATATCAGTGATAGAAAATCAAATTCTGGTAACCTAAAATACAAAATAAAGTAAGTTTGGTTAGATGTTCTTTTCCATTTTAGATCCATGAGAAAGAAAGAAAAAAACCAGAAAGTGTTAGCTGAAGTGAGCTTGAAGAAAAAGACTTTGGGTAGTTTGGTTTTCTTTTTTCTAACCTTTTCTGCCATCTGTTTTAAAAAAAGACAGTTTCCAAATCTGCTGAATTTATGTTTTTTTTTTCTTTTTTTTTTTTTTTTTGGGGGGGGGGGGGGGGGCGCAGTTCATGGGGTTGAATATGCGTTTGGAGCTCATGAATATCCAACAACTGGAATATTTGAAGCAGAACCAAAACAATGTGATGGATTCAGCTTTAGGAAATCAGTTTTGATTGGAAAAACAGATTTGGGGCCTGCAGATGTGAGGGGAGTAATGGAGGATTTAGCAGAGGAGTACAAAGGAAATGCCTACAATTTAATCACCAAAAATTGCAACCATTTCTGCAATGATGCTTGCATCAGGTTGACTGGGAATCCAATTCCCAGTTGGGTTAATCGCCTTGCTAGAATTGGTAAGACCAAGAAACGTTACTTCTATTTATGTGAAAATGGGTTTTTCAATTAAAATCTGTTGTTGTAATTTGCCAAAGAAACTGATAAACTGATGATTCTTTCTCTTTTTTTTATTTCGTTTTCTTTAGTATACCAACTAGCATTTGATTTTTTTTTCCTTTTCTGGGTGAGATAGATAATAGTTGAAAGTGTCAATAATGTAAGTGTTTGATTAGCAAAAATTATATATAGGTGTGATAAAAAATATATATTTTTAGGTGTGTGCTATACGATAATTTTTATATTTTTCACAAATTTGTTTTTGTTTTAGTTTAATAAACTAATGTACGTTGTCATCTGTTGTTTATTGTAGGCTTCTTATGCAACTGTGTTCTTCCAGTGGCTTTAAATGCAACCAAAGTACGGCATCACAGAATTGAAGGCAAAGCTTGTGAAGGAGAGAAGAAAAATTTGACAAGCGGGTCTAACAGATTGACATCTTCTTCAAATTCTTCTTCCTCTTCAAACTCATCACCTGCAATCACTCAAACTCGAGGCAGAAGCAGAAGCAGACGTTCACTTCCCCCATCTTCACCTTTGATTCTTGGTCCTTCATCATCTTGATGAGGATGATCAAATATTTTGGGACAGTTATTGAATCAAAATGCACAAAAGAGGGGCCAAAAAATAAAAAAGGAAAGGAAAGCATTGATTTTTTTTTTCTGTGCATTATTTTCTTGGTGATTTTATGATGCCAACATTGTCTTGAGAGATGTTGCAGGCATGATATCTGTACATTTGTATGTTATCAAAAAAAAAATTTTTCTGGCAAGTGATGGTTTGTGTCTGCAAATGTCATCCAACTTCATCTCCATTACTTTTATTCAACTTTTGATTGACCCTGTGTTCAATTATTAGCTGCAATGTTCATACTTAAATGGCAAAAAGAAGGGAGCAGCCAAATCAATTTCAATCTTTTGCTGTCACTTTTTTTTTTTTTGATTTGATATATGTTGAACTTAGCTTTCTCTGGATACTGCTTAAAATTGAAAGCAACATTTTGAGTCATTGTTGACAACGCACTTTTTTATTATTTTTTTTCTGGCATTTTTTTTCACAACTGTTTTAGTCTCTGTTAACCTTTTCCCCAAAGCATCGAGCATCCCACCACCCACTTTTGCTTTGGAATCATTGACCTCGTCAAGAATGCAGTGATTTTTATTGCCTGGGTGCTTAGCATCGAAAATGACCTGTCAATTTTTCTGAGGAAGCAATTTTTTTTTTTCTTCAGAAAAATGAGAGAGGAAGATCATTGAAGGTTCTTGGAATTATATTTCTAAACTGCCAATCATGAAGTTGGCGCATTATTTGCTCATTTTCTTATGTACTAAGTTCTCTTTTTTTTTTTTTTTTAAGTTAGAAGATATCTTATTAATATAATTCAATTACAAAATTCCAAAAGGAAAACCTCATAGAAGCACACGGAGTAACAATTTGAGCCTCACACTTCACATCTAATGTCCTAACATTATCGCTGGAGTGAATATAATATATATATATGAGAAATTATTAAATATATAAATAATGAAAATTTTAAATTTTATAAATTAAATTAATAAAATAATACATACTTTTTAGAATAAAAATTAAAAAATTAATTAAAAAATAAAATATTTAACAATTTTTTAATTTTGCTTGTAAAGTTAAAAATTTCACTAATCGTGTGTCAATTAATTTCTTAACCCTTTATTTATATTAAGATCACATTTAACTATTGGCTTTGGCACTTTGATTTATTAAGATGTCAAATGCAAAGTCTTGCTGAAAGTAGCTATTTCTTCATTTTTAGGTACCTAATGGGTTATATATAAAGTAAAATAATATTATTTTTTGTCGTTTTAATAGTAATCATAATAAGTTATCCCCCAATAAATTTGTTCAACAGCTCATTAATGTCATAAGAACAAATCAAGGGGCAAATTTGAAAAGAAGAAGATTAAAACTTCTCCACTCTTTTACTTCTTTCTATCTTTTCGAGAAAATGGTTGGACCTTGCTTCGTTTTCTTCATCTTCTTCTTAAAACTCTCCATCGATTTGCCCCGGTTTTCAAAATGGATTGTTCTAGTTTGCACCATATATGGTTTATATAGACTAAAAAAATGGTGGAAGTTGCTTTAATTTGTTGATCATTGATTAATGGGGTATATTTTATTTATTTATTAAATATGAGACAAGTTTATTAAGAACAGTACCAGAATTTCTTCACTTTTCTTTTTCAATGGCTTCTTTTGTGTGAAATGATGTTATATATTTTTTGGGCTTTTCATGCAGGGTTCCCTCTGGTGAGGAACATCAGTGGGCTTTTCACTTTTGCATGGGTTGAAAGAATACGTATGCATTTACTCCATTGAAATGCCTATTTCTCTCGGCTCTTTGAGATGTTTTTAGAAATACTAATTTTCTTGTATGAAAGTGAATATCATATTATAAAAGTGTCATAGTTAATCATATAAAAACCGCCTAAAAATTTATATGATTCAAAGAAGTCTTACATAATACACCAACCTTATTCAGATTTAGGTTGTGATGTTTCTTTTGATATATAATACTGGCTTTTGTAAATTTGGCTTACTTTTCAAACTTTCACAATTAGTTATAAGTTCTGCTTTTGTGTAGTACGCAAATTGAAGATGTTGAATCTCTTTCTATGGGTTGGATGTGATACCTTTTTAGGTTGTTCCTTAGGTTGAAGTCTGGCTTCAAACATTTGCTCCAGAATCACGCACACCAATCCATAGGCACTCTTGTGAAGAAGTTTTTGTTGTTCTCAAGAGCAGTGGCACTCTATATCTTACCTCAATTTCACATAAGTACCCTGGGAAACCAGAGGATTACTTTATATTTTCAAATAGCACGTTTTAGATCCCTGTCAATGATGTTCACCAGGTAAACATTTCTCACATTATAAATGTGTTGATGTGAAGAAACATAGATATCTCAAAACGGAGACTGTATTGACTTCGGGTTAGCCTGTAATAATATGATGCAGTTTTTTATCACCTTCTAAAATTTGTAGGAAGCTTAAAACAAGAAAACCCAACTATTTAGAAAAAAATCTACAGAGGAAGTTACCTACATAGCTGTTAAATTTAAATAAGTTTCATTTATAAATATTCAAAATATAAATAGTAATTCAACTCTTTTTATCTTACGGGATGTTTAATATTTAAATTATTAATACATAATTTTAATTTATTTTTGTAATTAAATTACAAGTATATAATTTTATTTCATTCTTGAAACGCAAACTTGAAATCTAGTAATAATAATAGAAACTCCAACAAATACTTTTCTACCATTGCAAACTTCCATAATTGATGGATTTTCTTACCCTTTTACTTCATCAGCTTATATATTATTATACTTCAGCACTGCTATAGTGTTACACTTGAAGAAAGCCAAGATCAAACATATGTCGGCAAAGCTATAACTAGAAGCAAACTAATACAAATTGGACTCGGGAGCTTCTATTCCCACCTTTTTTTTTAACTCTTCATAATTTATGTACAAATTTATTTTTAAATAAAAATATTTAATTATCTTGTTTTTTTTTTTTTCACAAACTTTAGATCTTTGAAAGCTTTTAAAATTTTCAAATATCTAAATTCAAAAGCTCTTAAAAGTCTACCAATTTGTATATCCGAAAACTTTTAAAAATTAAATTTACATATTCAAAAATTTAAAAATTTCTGTAAAATATTTTTTATCAATTAATTTTTTCTCAAACTTAAATATATTTTTTTAATTTACCAGATATGCATAGAAAATAAGTTATAAAATTTATCAAAAATACATATTTGAAAACTTTAAAATTGATAAAGAGAAAGATAATTAAAAAATTTCATAAAAATTGAAAAAAAAAAGGGTTAGAAATGGATAGAGAAAAAGAAGGTGTATTTTTAAAACCTCTCATTGGGCTCAACTCCAAAAAAAAAAAAAAAAAATCGTACCCCTCAATTGACCATTAGTCTCTGGTCAAGCTTTTGAAGGAAAACCTTTACTTTATAAGCATATATACAGAGCCTCCTCACAAATAGCCAAAACATGCGCAGGGCTAATTCCCTACTTTTCTCAGTGTATAATTTCTGCTTGATTATTGTTCGTCATAGAAGACAATGTAGCCAATACTTCGAAACAAAATTACCACTGTAGTCATTCAAACATCAAGCACCTATTAGATTCGATATTGATTTGATCAATTTGATTAGTTTCAAAATAAATTATTTAAAATTGAATTAATCAAATTAATTTATTTTATTTTTGTTAATTAAATCTAATTTATTAATTTCAAAAATTAATTCAATCAACTCAATTAATTTTCAATTAATCAAATATTAAAATATATTCGAGTTAAATTATATTTTAAACTCTTATTTTTTCATATTTACAACAAACTAATTCAAATCATCTAATAAAATATTCTACTATCAAAATAGTAAATTAAAAACTCTTACAACTTATAAAACAAAATAATTCATTTCATTTATTTTTAGTTTTCCATGAGATTTTGTTATATTTTGATTAGTTTGATTATTGAAACAAATTAACTAAACTCTAAAATATTTCTAAAATCATTTTTATAACCAATCGAAATTAATTTGATAACTGATCTATTAACCGAATTAATTTGATTCTGTTGATTAATTCATTTTTAACCGAATTATGAACATCCCTACTGTCAGAAGCAAATAAATGGCAAACTTTCCAGCACGAGGGACCATGAAAGCAGGACAAGTTTAGTCCTACTGAGATAACCACCACACCTGCCTTAAAAGGAAATAGATATTTGCAGACATACGACCACAAGGAAAAGCATCCAACTTTTTGCATGATTTTACATTTCGTTAATTCCAAATCATATACTCCTAAAGTTTGATTACCATGAAGAATCTCAGGCCCTTTACAAAAGCATGATATGTAACTATCAAGCATAAATCTTATCAACGAATAAGCAGACGAGACAGCTGTTTGTATCGGACATGTTTCATGCAAAGAATTGGCAGAGCTAATTTAATACAGGAAAGACAGCATAATGGCAACACTTTGAAAAGTACATTTCCTTGATAAAGCTGCCGAAATTCACACCATGCTTACCATACCTCAACCTGATGTCCAACGGATTCTTAGCGGTGCCCTAAGAAAGTTATTTTTTTACTTGAAAATAACAGTGCTGGCTGCTGATGACTGTCCAATATAGGCACAAAAATAGCAGTGTTTGGTGATATACCTTAGATAATGAGGATGGTCTCTACAGGGATATATGAAAGAAATATTACCTGTTTGGTTGATGAAATCAACTCCTAAAAGTCCTAAAAGTGCGGGTGATCTGATAAAGAGGAAAATGTTGCTACAATCCATCCTATTGATCATTCTCAATTGTTGCAGCTGCTTAGCATCATTAGCTCAGGCATGCCTACAATGAAGCCAAAACCTGTCACAACAGACTGGGAAGACAGGGGAACCAGTTGCAGGGAGATTTTGTCATGTACTAAATTGTTGCTAGTTCGGTAAAAATATTCTATGCAAGAAACAAGTTCATTCTTGGAAAACGTGGCTGAATTTATATAAAAGAGAGAAATCAGAATAAAAATCAAACAAACTTAGCATCTCTGTAATCTGATAAATAGTTTTGTTCATAATATAACATTACAATCCAATGACATTGAAGATCAATACAAATTATTATAATAAATCTAGTTAGCCACAATTTAGAAGTATTAATGATGGGCGCTACAACAGAAATATAATTCAATATATTGAGACTCTCCACCATATTTGTAACAAAGTAATTTTGGAAGTAAGTTTCAGAGAAGACTTTCATGCTTTCAAGTAAAAACATAAAAAGCAGCTGGAGAAGCATGGTTCCGCAATTCTAAAATTCTTGACAACAAATTATTCACAATAATTTTGATTAAAGAATGGCATGCTTGGACAATATTTCAAGTTGATTTACTTATGCCCCGACAGAAAAATAACTTAAGGCAAAAGGAGGGTTTAAACTTTAAAAAGCACC